CATGGAGATTCTCTGAATCAGGTGCATCTTTTTTTGTTGATTTTGCATCAAAACACGCTCTTCATGCAAATTGTTCCGAAACTGTTCGTTATGCAGGAGAATTTCATCCACGACCAATTTGTGGATGGGATAAATTCAATTCATCTGATCCATTAAATTTTAATCAATGGGAATTAGTTATTGATAATGGATCAGGTACCTATGCACCAGATCGATCACTTCTTAGTAAATTGAAAGATTTATTATCTTTCAATTTTCCTGGTTTAAAGGTTGTTACTTATCATGTCGAAGATCCTCAATTAAAATCGAGTATTGAAGCTTGCCGTTCGTTTGCTCAACCTTGTACAATTAAACCAATGAAAACAATTGAATAATTTACTTCCGAACAGTTTCAATCATTAACACAGAAATGACTTCGAATTATGTTTCATAACTCTTTTCTTTTCAACTAATTGATATTTTTATTCGAGCACATTTATTCATCAGACGAGGATAAATAAAAATTCAATCTTATTTTAATATCAAGAAAAGATCAACTGACTACAGATATTCTTCATTTCTTTCTTATTATATTTGAACCGAAAGCAATTATCATTGTTCATGTTGAACTCAATATTCATTTAATTCTGCGAAGATCGTCACTAGAATTTAAAATACCAAATTGATCTGTTGTATGTTTCGCATAGAGAATATGATGTGCACGTTTCATCAACGTTTGAATACCGAATGACATTGGTCCTTCGAATATCAATTGTGCTGCTTTATATAATGGATTCCATTGTTGTTTCTCATTCGGCTTAAGGAAATAATCGATTCGTTTTAAATAAATTTCCCAAGTTGTGTAAAGTCGCTTATCATTCACTTGTACTGAATGACCAAGTGTCAATGAATTGTGACGAGAATAACGAACAGGACCATCAAACGTGTATGGACGAAGAATTCGTGTCTCAACTGATGAAGATAAACGATTAATACTCAATTCAAATGTTCCTTGCACTTTGCCAAGACTGTTTCTGATTTCGATTGATCGATGATTTGTTGGCAGAAGAGCTAGTTCAAAATTCCCAATGCAATTATCACTGACTGTATTATCATCTTTATCAAATAATCTGACTGAGAGTTTTGCTGTTCGAGGAACATTTCTTACTAACCATTGCTCATTCCAAATTGGAGTCAATGTATTCGTTATACATGAAGATCTAACAAAGACTAGGTTTCCAAATTAGTTAAATTCATTCAAGAATACAAACATGAATTGAATTTTTCCATTATCAATTTGAGTGATGATATATGGATTATATAATCCAACCATATCCTTCTTTGGAAGGTCCTGCAGATCTCAAAGATTTACATTGATCATACAAGAATAAACAAACAAACCTTTACACAATGGAATTCAATAAGGAAATCGTCCAATTTCGACTCATTGTTACCTTTTACTGGACAGATAATCTGTCGACTAAAGCTAATAACCATTGATAAAGCCATCGCTTCAATAAAAATTTCATAAAAAAAACTTTCTTATCCTTCAAAATTCTAATACTATCTATTTTGTTCTGCCTTTTTGAACCATCAAAAATCCATGGATCTTTACTTTAACTAAGACCATGGATTACTGGTAAGTTAGTAGAACTTTCGTCTAATTTTATTTTGACAGACACAAAAGCTACTTCTATATTTGGAACAGAATTTTTTTTGTGCTTTTGATAGAATTGCTCTGGTCTGTTACGTAGAGATCTGTCGAGTTCCATCAAAAGATATGTTGTTGAGGATTTTATTGAGAAAAGCTTCATCAGAGCACTTCTTCAACGGAAAATTCTTGAATTAGTAGTGAACTATAGACGTTAATTTAAGACTATCCATTGACCGAACTTTCAACTGTGAATAAAAACAGATCTGAACATTACTTATTTCATTGATACTTAAGGATTGATGAATAATTTTATTGTTAATATTAATTTAGACTTTCTCTGCTAACACATAATGTATTTAAAATTCAATGATGAAATAGATGAGACTAGAGTTCTGATGCTGTCGATTGAGACTTTCTCTTATGAGTGGACCAGCCTTTTGTTATTGTGATTTATTTAACAGATAGGTAAACTAATTACATGTTACTGTTAATGTCCATAAAAACAGGTTATAGAAGTTATTTACTATAATACTATGAGTAGTTAAATGAAGCTAGTTAACTTTCATGTTAATTAACTTACTTTATAAAGAATTGTATGTCTACTGTTGGGTAATAAGCTTATCTGTACGAAATAAAAATGTTTTCATCTAAAAATCAACAACATTTATCTTTGTAAAGAACACGCAACTGAATTTTGTACTTATCTTGTCAGGTGATGATAAACTACTTTTTTTATCTATGCGAGTCTAGATATCTCTCGTTAAAAAAAAGGTTTTCAAAAGTCTATCCTCTCAATCGACAATGAACTCTACAGGAAAAAATGAGTATTGAGACAAGTCGTTTTTCTTTGAACATAAATCACATTGATGTCGATCGATCCATATCACTTTTGACAACGTGGAACAGCTTGCAAAAACGTGGATAGGATGCATGTATGAGTGAAAGTGATGATAATTCTCTCATAATCTTTCATTAACGAATACTCTCAATTCTTAAAGCTATCAGAGGTAACTTATTTAGGATTTTGTTAGTGTCATCGGCTTCATCGTCACTGTATTTGCTGAAAACGACGATGAAAAGCATTTTATCTTGGGATTCGTGGTATTTCTCAGTTTATTTATGGTTGCCACACGTGTACTGAAAAGTATCCATGTATTTCGCGCTACATACGTGGATCACAAAATATGAATCCTCTTCTGGCTACTAATTGTTAGCAACGATTATGGAGATCAGTTCTTAGTGTTTAGATTTTATCATATATTTAGATAGATCTTTCTCTAGTTATAACTGCCATTCATTAAAAATTAACAAGCAGCGTTTATCAGATGTTCATTCGTTTTTTTTTCTAGACGGCACGACAATGAAGTACTGGTCTTTATTCGTTTTCCAACAATCATCTATAGAAAAATATTTTTATCATGTTGAAAACAATATGACTTCAGTGTTGTACTATTTTCAATAAGATATGGTTTAGAAAATTTCGTTCGCATATTCGTATATTAAACTAGCCTTTGATAGTCGTTTAAGACTTCAACGTTAATGAAACATCTAGATATAGGTGTATTTGGGATTATTTGATTTCATTTGTGCTGTTGAGGCTTGCTAAATTGTTATAATATTTTTATTTTGAGATACAAAACATTGAAGAGTTGAAATAACGTTTTCAATTTAAATATTACCTTTTAACGTTCTCATTTAGTTTAAATCTTAAGGGTTCACTGAAAAAAATGGGCGTAGAATAATAAACCCTCAAAATGGTTTATGACCACGGCATAAACCCTTTTTAGGTTTATGGACGTAATCTACCCTCTCATAAACCCTTTTTTTTCATAAACCTTCGCAAGGGTTTGTCAATCGTTGCAAATTCATATATCCTTGTACTGTTTTCTGTGTTCATAAAACATTTTTGAGTATATGAACGCAATAAATCCTTAGACAAAGGATATATTATTCTACGGTTGTCTTTAAAATGTAGGATAACAAACCCTTTGTCTAAGGATTTATTGCGTTCATATACTCAAAAAGGAGTTATGAACACAGAAGACAGTAGAAGGATATATGAATTTGCAACGTATAGCAAACCCTTGCCAAGGTTTATGAAAAAAAGTGTTTATGAGAGGGTAGATTACGTCCATAAACCTAAAAGGGGTTTATGCCGTGTTCATAAACCCTTTTTGAGGGTTTATTGTTCTCCGCTCATTTTTTACAGTGTTGGCTGAACAGTTTTAATATCCACCAACTAGACATTTTCATAAGAAACAGAAGCGTCCCGAATTTTGACTCACATAAAAAATGCATTAGAAGCGCTAATAGAATGAAATTGATTTAAGAGCATGTGATTGGTTACAATCTATTAGAAATACGATAGTCAGGTTGAGTTGGGTTAAAAGACAATCATTAATTAAAACGGAAAAAATATTGAACAGTGCGTGATCGCCACGTCTAATGTACTCACTAGGCCAAAACCAAGTTTGAGAAATAGGATGAATTAGACAGAAGTGGTCTTATTTGATTTTCTTCTTTTGCAATTGATTCACGTTTTTATTTCTTTATTATAATCGCGCTTGTTCAAATATCTTTATCATAAACCTGTATAAAGTCTTTTTTCAAGTGTGCATTTGATTTATTTCAAGAAGTTCTCTTCACTTTACGACATTCTATAAAAGAAAAGGTATATTACATTTTTATTTTATGTGACTATATATGATGCAGGTGAGGATGTGGGTGTGAGGGTGTCGGTGTGGGTGTGGTTGTAGGTGTGGGTGTGGTTGTAGGTGTGGGTGGGTGTGGGTGTGTTATGGGCGTGAATATACAGTGCATGTGCACACACCCACATCTACACTTCCTGAGAATTCTTGGCAATTCCTGCTGATTCCGGAATTCTGGGAATTTCTACCGATTCCGAAATTGCGAGAATTCAACCTACGCCTAGCATCGCGTGTAATTTCGGGAATTCCTACCGATTTTGGAATTCCATGGAACTCGATCCATGCCGAATAAGTCTCTTATGCTGTAAGACAATCGGATTCCCTGAATTGGACGGAATTGATTTCGAGGGCGGAACTGGTTCCGCAATGTTCGACATTGCGGAATGGAATGACTGCTCCATGAAGGGAGTGTGTTGATGTGAGTGTGGGTGTGACTGTAGTTGCGCGTGTGGGTATAGGTGTGGGCTGTGGTTGTGAAGAGAACAACCGCACCCAACCCACACTCACGTACACCCGCAACCCCACCCCTATTTACACTCACACATGTCTGACACCTACATCCACACCACACCCTGTGAGCAGCACTACTAAGTCTCGGTATCAAAATGTGTCAGAATCGTACCAATGTGCTGAGGGTGTGGGGTGTGGGTGTGGGTGTGAATAAAGGAGAGATCTATACCCACACCCCATCAACACGCACTCCATCCACATCCACACCACACCCACACCCACACCCTCGTTCATTTCAGCATGACCCTTTTTGATCATAGCCGAGATCGACGACGAAGATGAAACCATTCGAACAGCATTGCTCGTCAGATGATATGGAGATCGATGTAAGAGACGAAGCGACGCAAAAAAAGATTGCATTGCTTTTGCTTCCAAGTAGAACGAAAAATGACGCGATCAAAATAGTTTTGTCCTATTTTTCTTTTGCACATTCTGCGCTTATGTCAATGAGTGTAAAAAAACCTTGACCTCGATCGTTTATCCATGTTCTTCTTTATATATTATATCAAAAAAATCTTCTTCTTATGGTATTGTAACTTTTCTTGTCTCATTAATTTCCACGATTCACAAACAAATAATATTGAAATTATGTTCGTTCACATTTAAGATTCAAATAATTTTAACATACGTCACAATGACCGGCAAAACTTTTGCTCTATACAAACATGTAACACTAGAACTGTATGTGTATTATAAACATATAGCAATGAAAAACGTGGTACGAAACACCCTATAATTGAAGATTATTTTTTGCTTGTATGCATGCAAAACAAAGTCGTATGTGTTTGCATGCATTGAAGATACGAATCTGCCCCTCTGAACTCAAAACTGATAAAACACTGTCAATCAATTCCATGCTTGATATCTTTATTTAAATTCAGAAATGTATACCTCGAATAAAAAAACAACGACTGTAACGTTGATTGCTTGATTGTCTTGAGTTTCTTTTCAAAATACAACTATAACTCATAAAAATAGATCGACAAAAATGTTGATTAACAACGAAATAAAATCGAAGTAGTTTTCATTATTGTTGTTATTGCTTTTTTTTCGTTCCTATCCGTGTAGTAAGTGAAAATGTGACGATAAAATATGTACACAAAGGAATACTGAAGAAAAGAAACGTCCTATTGCATTTGGTTCTTAGTTCCCTTTGTGTGTGATTACAAATTATGAGAAGTGTTTTGTCGATGCCTATGTTGTTCTATCGTGCTGATAGTTTTGAAATGAATCAAAATAATATTAAAAATTAATTCAACACTGTTAATTACATAACATGCATTCCAGTTTTCTACATGGGCATTGATTGCCAAGTATCTAATGTCAGGAAAAACTGCAAACTTAATATGATTAGCATTATAATGAATAGATCGATAAAATTGAATGGATGTTCAAGAACCATTCATTTAAGGCTTACATTTATTTTGTTGGATAAGAAGACTTAAAAACCTAGCATAATTC